GCCTACAAAAGGAAAGTTTTTAAAGTTAGTCCAAATTTAGTGAAGTACAAAGAAAGACCAAGCAAAAGAGAAGCGCAAACCGCAAAGAAGTAGCGGGAAGTCGTCGCCGCCAGATGCTTGGTATCTGAAGTCAGCACAGGGGTACCCGCGACGTGAGTGAAGTCCTCAGGGACCGCCAAACCCTCAGCGATCACGTGCATAGCACGTTTAGCAGCAACAGGGTACAAGGACGCCTGCGAAGAGAACGACACTGAAGTGTCGACGGAGGTCCTCTTTTGCTTCTTAGGCACGAGGTATGCATCGATTGGGGTGACCGGCTTCTCGAACGCGACCCCCTTCAGCCTTCCCTCCCCAGCAACTGATCTCAGGTCCTTGGAGGTGGTAATGTCCAAAGGCCGTTTAACAGAAGTCCTCTGTGCGGGCTCGGACAACTTCAAAACCCCAGAGCGGCTGGCGACCAGCTGCTTCTGAGAAGGTGAAAGCGAGAGGGCGGCGGCCGTCGCGGGAGGGTCAGAAGGAGCCAGACTTGAAGAGACAGGGGCAGAGCTCCCGGGATTAGGCGGTCGAGCAGCAGAGGCGTACCGCCGAGTACCTGAAAAGTAAATACATAAGTGAAGCACATGAGAGATTCGTCCAACACAAGAAGGAAATAACTAACCGTGAAACCGCCGAATAATCTCAAGGGCATTATCGTCGCCCTTCGGAGGGAGGCGAATTTGTAGAGCGCTCACAATCCGCTTTAACAGCGGTTTGAAGGGCTCCAGGCCCTCGGTATCGGTGTTCCAATCCTTCTTGTCGCCAAAAGCGAAGCCGGTCGGCGGTTCAACCTCACCCGAATACCATGTACCCTGGGGGCGAGCAAAGAAATACTCCTTGAACCAAGGAGAATCTAGATTGGGCGCTCCGCTAACAATGCCGACGCGCGACTCTCGACGATAACAAGACCAGCAGTTGTCCGAGCCCCTCATCTTGTATAGCTGACGGAACGCATCAAACGAAGGCGTTTCACCAATTTTCTCACAAGTGGCTCGGAAGGCTATGGAGTGGAATATTATACCCGGAGATAACCTCCCTAATGTGCAGTTGAGAAAGAGGAGCGTCCGAGTAAGAAGGTTATCAATGGGGAAAGTCAAGCCCATTCGGAGGTGCTCCACATGAATGGGAATCCAACCGCCCGGACAGGAACCGGACCGCCCCTTAGGAGAGGGAGCCGCATAATCCCAATCGGTAGGGAGCCCGTGCGCCTTTAACTGTCGAAGAACTTGGTGAGGCTTGTACGCGGCCTCGTTAGGCGGTCCCTGATCGTACGCGCTGCGAGGAACAGCCTCTCCTTCCCACATATCCTCGTGCAACCTGACCCGGTAAACGTCGTCGTGGATCGCTTGGAAGGCCCCCACGGGTCGTGCGTCGGACAAAGTCAGAGAAAGGGACGATTCCCCCTCTTCGTCCTCGCGGCGGTCTTCATGGGCATCGTCAGAAAGGTCGATATGAGACGGGTTATGGGGCGGTTCGCTCTCGGCTTCTGAATAACTAAAAGCCTCGAGGTTATCGCCAACCCGGGAAGACGCCCCACGCCGAGATGTGCCCGCATCAGGAACCAGATCCAGTTCTACTCCTAAAAGGTCATAACGAAGACCGTCTAAGAATCGCTAAGGGAACCGCACCAAACTCCACACGCTCTGAAAAATACTAAGTCCTAGTTCTGGAATCATGCGCGTAATAACAAGAGTAAGATTATACCTGGAACTGTTTGCCGGGTCCCAGATTGCGGTCCGCCAGAGCCGCCTCCGGACTTCGCAGACGAACGAGGGACGCTCACGCTAGAGGTCCTAACGTCACCAGAAGTAGCGGCGGCGTCACGACGACGACCACGTTGCCGGAGAGATGCTGGTTCTGGCTGTCGGAAGGGGCAGTGCTGTGCGAATCCATCGCCATTTGTCGCCGGAGTTTTCTCTTGGCTCGCTTCTGACGTCGTCGGAGTTTGGCGAGGAAGTCTACTCGCGACGGAGACAAAGAATTGCTATCGCGCAAGTAAGAAGAGAGGGAAAAACGGGAGCACCGAGCAATCTTGGCGAGAGAATCAGAGGAGAACGAAATGAAGTTTTCGGAGAAAGTAGAAGAATGGGGGAAAGAAGATGGGGCAGGTATAAATCGGCAAGGCAAGAAGGTAGTGAGGCGACGGTTGAGTAGCCTAGGGCAAACTCTAACCTACAAAATTCAAAACGCGGGCAGGTGATTGGACGTGATAGCTGCCCGATGTCAGGGCACGAAGTCCAAGGCCGACACGTGGCAGAGGCTAAAGGCGGTGCGAAGAAACGCGGAAGACGAGGAGGCAAAGGGCAAAGCACAAACAAACGCGGTCGCCTAGTAGTTGACTGGCTCGGAAGGGACGCGAAACAAAAAGGGAGTGGACAGTGCAGAGGGTAGCAGTCACACCATGAAAACATGGCAGTAAAAGGGGGTGGACAGCGGAATCGCTCAGACAAGCGTCGGTCAAACGGAGGGACAACAAAGTCGCTCGACGAGCAAACAAAAAGGGGGTGGACAGCGCAGAAGGTAGCAGTCACATCATGAAAACATGGCAGTAAAAGGGGGTGGACAGCGGAATCGCTCAGACAAGCGTCGGTCAAACGGAGGGACAACAAAGTCGCTCGACGAGCAACCAAAAAGGGGGGTGGACAGCGGAATCGCCTAAAGACCAAGCGAGAATAGGCGGACAGGTGGACAACAACGTCGCTCGACGAACGCCCAAAAAGGGGTGGACAGCGGAATCGCTCAAGACATTCGGAAGCGGACAGCGGACTTCTCAGCGATTAGTAAAGATACACAGTGGATTTCCACAGCACAAATCAACGTCTGTCAAAAAGGGGTGGACAGCACAAACTCTCCGAACGGTTAATAAATAAACGTCGACCGCTTAACGGGCGACAGAGTAACGGTCGTAGAAAGGAGCACGAGAGAGGAATTAACACAGGAAAGAGACCGGAATAGTTGTGAAAAACGCATCTCTGTGGCGGCCAGGGGCAGAAGGGTAGACAGCGGTTATTATGAGGACCGCTCAGCCATTCGGTATAAAAAGTAGCCGCCAAAACCCGCTGCTTTTCACGACTAAGGGGCAATTGTTGGGCCATAGCTGAGCGGTATTGGGCTTGGAGGCCCACAGAAGGCCCAAGGAGAAAGGCCCGGGAGGCAGGCATGGGGAACAGAGAAAGGAGGGCGGCCGCCCTAGGATGGGACAGGCAGTAGGCCGCCTGACACAAGGAGCCGTTGCTCGGTATAGGGCGAGATCTTCCCAAGATACTCACCTCGAACACCGCAGGACTGAGCATTAATTGCCCGCCGTAGGCGGTCTAGATAAAGTATGGTCGATCTAGGACGCCTGACAATGGCATTTAATGCCCGAAACCCAGGCCAGACCACTATAAATACATTCATATCTGCATTGATGGTAAACCAACTACTACTCTCTCTCTCTAAACATACATAAAAGTCTTCATTCTCTCTCTAACTTAAGCATTGGAGAGTGTCCTGGGCGACCGCCCACGGACCCTTGTTTTGCAGGAGCTTGGAGTCCCCCACCATCTAGAACAGGCGCTTCACTCATTCTACACAAACCGCCTAGTACATTCTAGGCTCAAACATTATCATTAAATGAGAAAATTTTCGGTTAATGCATCAATTCACGATTTATACGATGAATAACACATTACAATGAACACATAGTTAATCCTTATAGAAATACATGCAACTAATACAATTATCCAAATTATATTAGTCAAATACTACCGAACCACCTAAACCAAACAAGCTAAATTTTTTAACCAAACCAAACCAATTATCCAAATTAACCAAACCAAATTAGCCAAATACTACCGGTTAAATAGTTACCACGGTAACCACACCGTTTAAACACCTCTAGTGGCGTCGGGTCTTCCAAGATGCAGCTGAAGGGATTTGGTTGATTATTCGGGTTTTGCAACTTCTAAACAAAGAGAGAACCCTAGAGAGAAAAAGTGACGAAGAAGAACCTTGGGAAAGGATTGGAGTGATTTAAGGACATTGGAGCTCGATCTTTCACCCTCGGAGTGACAATTTCCAGCGTAGAGCAGATTCGCATCCCTCACATGATGATTTCTCTTCCAAGCTTTGCGTTTTCTCTTCTCTCCATGGAGTAAACTCCCTTTTCATATGGGTATGAAGAACCCTAGTCTTGTATGTTAGGAATGGTTGTATGAACCTAGTTTGTAAATGATTGATTTGATATATTCAATTGAGGCATTAATCAGAATGGCATGAGTCCTGATCAAACTTTTGTGATTCTTGCTTTAACCTATAACTATAGTCTCTACATAGGTTAATACTCGCCTCAGATGGGCGCAGGATACCCAATGTGTGAGTGTTTTGTCTTAGATAGGCACATGTTACACGTTCATTCTCCCCATTGTGAGGGTAGTAATGTAAAGATATGTTATAACAAGTTTACCGGACGGTTGCGCTAGCTAAGTAGAGGGCGGGGCCCCATTATAAGATAAAACATGTAAGCAAGTAATAACGAAACCCCTTTCCTAATAAACTGTGCATTTTATTCATACGACCACCACATGTGCATGGCTCTACGTGTGTTTGAGGATGATTATAGGATTAGGACCGACCCCACGCCCACACTCAGGAGCTGAAAGGAAACGGAAGCAATTGGATCACTTATCGGGAGGAAGCTGCTGCTGAAGATGTCATCTTCACAAGGGTTAGTGATTGCAGAAGCTCCCAAGTGAACTCCTTCACTTATGTACTTTTATTAGTAGGCTTGAGACTGATGCTCATACATGATTTGTTACGAGGAATTTCCTACGGTGATTTGAAATTATTTTTGTTATTCTTTTCATTTTGAGTTATTTCGATTTCTCAATGGTATTTTGGTAAAAATAGTGTTAGGCCGAGTTAGGGTGTTACAGATAATTTGTATTTTTGCCACCATTGTATTTTAACATCTTTTTCCCATATAACAAATATTCGATAGAATTGAAATCAGCCTCAAGAGTGAAAGGGTATAGAAAGAACCGTGCATACGATTAAAAAAGCCAACACCATCCACACTATCTCAACCCGATTACCAGGAGCTTTCGATAAGATGTTGAGAATACAAACCGTCAGTGCCGGCTGGCCACACTAGAGGAAAGCATAGATGGAGTTCATATCAAATCAGAGACTACAATTCCCCATATCATGGAATCCATGGTACGACATCAAACGATAATAGCACAGAGAAGAGAGTAGACATATCATCCTAGAAATGAACACACTATTGCTGACCCTCTCCTGATTCATGCTTTGTTGATGCTTCCTTGATCTCGTCCCCAGCATCGTCCTGCAAAGGAAGACAACAAATTAGTCTCACTTTCCTAAGACACCAGCGAGATACAACCATCAAGAGCAATGGACCGAGATTGCGAGTGGGAATTTAAGCACATTCTAACCGTAACGTTGAATTTTGAGATGCGAGCAGTTCAACGAATAATAGGTAAAGACAGGACATGAGAGAAACTCACCGTGATATCAGAAGTCCATAGTGTTAAGTTGTCACGGAGTAGTTGCATGATCAAAGTGCTGTCCTTGTATGACTCTTCACCTAATGTGTCCAGCTCGGAGATGGCCTCATCAAAAGCCTGCACAAAGCAAAAGATGAGACTTGAAGATATATGATAGTATAGGAAGTATGAATACTGCAAAGCGATTATAAATCAAGAAAGTCAAATAATCAACTGAACAGCAACGTAAAGCATCAACATGAAATATAATGCAAGTACTACAGTAAAAAGGATAATTCAACGACAAGTTAACACACAGGTATTCTCCAGCAACAAGTTCAAGGCCATCACTTAAGATATCATAGCCAAAATGGCACCCAATAACACTTTCCTAAATGCCAATTTCCAAAAAGACTAAACGGTCAAATATATTGGTAAAAATTAGATCTTCCTTCATACAAACAAGCATCAAGAGGATAGTTCTGCAAGTTGAACAGATGAAAATATACCTGTTTCGCAAGACTGCAGGCACGATCAGGTGAGTTCAGGATCTCATAATAGAAAACAGAGAAGTTGAGTGCCAGCCCCAGACGGATCGGGTGGGTAGGAGCCAAATCAGCTAGTGCAATATCCTATACCAAGGAAACAATGAGATGAATCTTCTGAAATGTAATAAAATACACATAGCCGTATGAACACTGAACAAGCACAATAGAGAACTTTGTGGCCAAGAAAAACCAACAGATGACTGAAACAAACATTATAACAGCAAGTACTCTTTCGAACGCACCTGTGCAGACTTGTAAGCCATCAAGGTGCTCTCAGCAGCTTCCTTCCTCTCTGCACCAGTCTTAAACTCAGCAAGATACCTATGGTAATCACCCTTCATTTTGAGGTAAAACACCTTAGACTCAGCAGCCGAGGCAGAAGGAACGAGATGTGTCTCAAGAAGGTTCAGGATGCCATCGCAGATCTTGCTCAGTTCGGTTTCAATCTTAGACCTGTACTCTTTGATAATAGAAACGTGATCCTCATTTCCCCTGCTCTCCTCTTTCTGCTCAATGGAAGAGATGATCCTCCATGAAGCTCTTCTTGCTCCAATCACATTCTTATAAGCCACGGAAAGTAGGTTCCTTTCCTCGACAGTCAGCTCCTCAACATCAACTGTCTTTGCAACTTTCTCCATGAACTCCACCATTTCCTCATAACGTTCAGCCTGCTCAGCCAACTTGGCCATGTACACATTCTCCTCGCGGGATGCTTCAGCAGACATATTTTCTCAATCTAAAGAGTAAAAACCCATGGAATTGGTTTATTAATGAGCATCATTAAGATCGAAACAAACAGTTACAATAGTAACCAACTTTCATTCGCGATTAAATAATCATTGAAGACAGACTACCATCACTTACAAACAGAAATGTGCCAAAACATATGGGCACGCCATATCATTTCTGTTTTACCTTGAAAACCAACAGAAAATCTGAAGCGACAAAGCAAAACCAAGGGACAAGGAGGATATCATTTCACCTCTTATCTTCCTCCGGGATGATCCAAACTATGCTAACTAATGTTTATTTATAAATAAATAACACAGGTTCCAATCTATGTGTCTTTGTTCTTTCAAAACATATGAAAACCCCACCACTACTATCTTCCATTAAATTGATTCCATACAGTTGCAGATAAAGTCACACAGCCGACCAGGGAAGCAAGTACAGCATCTCGGAAGATGTAAATTCAGAAACAAAACCCCAATCTGGTACAATATTAGGATTTCCTTGTATTATTATCTTCTCCCAAAAGCCAAACTAGCAGATCAGAATCAACAGCAGGAAAAGTGCAAGTCAACGCCTAGCCAGAAATTTCCACAAAACCGTTTTCACCAGAGTAAAAATCCCACCACGAAACCAACTCAACAGCAGTTAGATCCCGCAACAAAGAAATCGACAAAGCCATAAGAAAGATTCAAACGAAGAACCCTACAGCCGTAATCAAGCAGCCTAAAAACACTCGGCAGATCTTGGGAAGGGAAGTCGCGAATCAAGATTGGAATAGCATAGATCGATTGAAATGACCTATTATCAATCATCAAAAATGGATTTAGTGATGGGTTAAGAAACTAGGGCTTACCAATAAGAAACTGCGCGCGGGCGGGCGGGCGGGAGGAAGATCGATGCGGAACTATGACGCCGGAGAAGAAAGAGAGAAAAATGAGGGGAGAAGAAAAATGAGGTCGAGGGGGCGGTTAATAAAAAGGGGATTGAAAGGCGAGTGGAGAGAGGGAGGCTTGAGGGAAGGAGGTCCAATGAGGAGCTGACAGGTGGTGGGTGGCGGAGATGAAGAGAGAGAAGGCTAGGGGTTGACGGTCAGCGCTCTCACACGAAAAATACAATCAAATTGAAGTTGACTATTTTTTAGCCAAATTTTTTTTATGATTTTGAAATATTAGCCAAATTTTTAAAATTATGAAATATTATCCAAATCTTTCATAATGCTACAAAATTATAGCTATCTATTGTTAAAATTAACGTCAGACTTAACAGAATTACATCTAAGCTAAATTGTCGGTCTAAGTTTTTGACACATCAATGCCATGTCAATTATAATATTTTTTTTAATTGAAAAACATAATTTCCCTTCTCCCTCTTATTTTTGGTGGCGAACATAGCTGGAGTTCTTTCATGTTGCGGGTTTGCCATCGGCTTATCCTGACCGCCCGAGCGGTTGCCGCGAGAGGATTTACTCACCAGAATTTAAAAACGACGGCGACGGTTATCTCTCCTCTACGAACAAGCAGATCTGGATCGAGACGAAGTTATCTCTCCTCTGCTTCGCGTCCTATCACCAAGAAGAAACGACAGTCCTCAGCGAACAAGCATATCTGCTTTACGTCCTTTGTCTGTGAACAGATTAACTACTCGTTAATTGACCCGATGTCGCTCAAATACAACCATGGTCTCTTTCTTCTCTTTCTTCTATTAAAAAAGCTTTTGTGTACCAAAAGAACACGCCAAAGATTCGTCTGTAGCAAAGAGAATCATGATCGTGCTTTGCCATAGGAAAGAGCGGCGACCTACGATTCCACCCCCAACCCAACCCAACCCGAGGACTCTCCTTAGGGGTTGAAGTCACTCTCCTCGTACTCCCTAAGATTTCTATATCCAAAGCTAGCCGCAATTGAGGATAGCGGAGAGGGCCCCAGAACTAGCGAGCTGGGGGCGGAGAGAAACGTCAAATTTAGTGAGCTTGACGAGGTGGGAGAGGGAATCGAGCTTGGAATCGGGAAGTGAGGAAGTCACTACAATTTGTTTAATTCCCTTTGTCACAGTTTGGGGAAGTATAAAAACATTCATCCAATATTGAGTTAGACTATAGAGTACAAATACTATCAGTTCAATCTTGCTTACATTGCTAAGAGCTTTAGATTTATAGTTCTGCACTCTAGTAGTGATCCTATCAATTACATGTTTACACGCCTTAATTGATAGCTTCCTTGCTAGTAGAGACACCTCGAAGTATCTCAAGCAATTTCCTTATCTGACAGCCTGACCAAAAAAGTTACGGGCTATTTTGCTGAGTTTCTTAGAGAGAGTTGTCTCGCGCCCTTGCTAATGTATTATGATTTTCTATGGACACCCCAACATAAAAAATTCACATTTTGCTAGATTAGACTTCGATACTGATAAGCCTTGAAATATGTTCAGGATTTGTTTAGTACAACCAATGTAGTAAAATGCGTGTATCTAACCAGAAGCGGAAACATGAGTAAGAATGTAAAATGTAAACGCTTAGCGTAAAAGCGTAAGTATTTGTGTATAATCTGATTAATCTTAAGTATTTGTGTATAATCTGATTAATCTTCAACAAACTATCTATCTCATTTAAAAAGGTCACTACTCACGCAGATAATCTAATTTAACAAACTTTTATTAGTGGAGAAAACGTACAACTAAACCAACAGTACTACAATAAGGAAATATCGAGGCTTCTTCATCCATAAAAAAGTATAACCAATTAACAACTATATCTCATTATCAGCCGTTTGTTTCAATTTAGATGTCAAATTAAACAAGATTACTGAGCCTTCCTTTATTACAAGGTTCTTCATCTATTGAATGCGAGGAATCAAATTATAAGTAAATATTAACCACTTAAGTCGCACATCAAACAATAAAGTTATCACTCGATGAAGCTGTGGCGTAACATCATCGCCCGGCTTGAACACGTCATATGTCATGCTCGCATCAAGGTGATGTCATCTCAATATTTGGGTGAATTTTAACTATGGCATGAGGAAGGTGTTTGATTAATTGGATTATGAAACTCATTTTAAATAAAAAGGAATGTGAAGTGAGTTGAAAATTGAAGGGCTTAATTGTAATGTAACTAATATAAAGTTGGATGATTTAAGTGGAAACCAAGTTTTTTGAGGAGATATTTGGATATTTGTGATCGGAGGAGAAGAGAAACGGGGAGAGATTTTTGGAGAATGAAGGTGCAAAACCCTGCACGCTCATTCATCTCCCGCCCCTCCCTTTTTTCGGTACTTTCTTTCCTCTCCCACTCTCCATACCCTCATCACCACTAACAGCAAGCAAACCTTGAAGGAACCATAAAAATTACGGGGAATTAGATCTGGGGAATTGTGAAGCAAAAAAGAAGGAAAAGGCGAGAGAAATAGAGGAGTTACCGAATTTTCGTTTTGCAGCAAAGTAATGAGTTCAAGAGGGGATTTCAATAACCCATCGTTGGATCGTCCTCAAATTTGGGTGATGCATACTTTATGGGATCTAACGTTGGGATCGTCGTTATGATTCTGGTTCGTCGAGAAATGTTGCTGGTCAGACAGGATGCAACACTGCTTTCATGTAGTTGGGAAGTTGGTTATAGGGAGGATTTCGGTGAAACTAACCGTTGGATCGTCCTCAATCTTTGAAGACATGTTAAAGACTCGTTGTGGGATGATTTGTCCATAGGGATCGATGTTTTGTTTCTGTTTGTCAGAAGACAAGGTGTGAAATTGGTTGAAACTCATTCAACTGGAAACGTAAAAAAACGAGTTAGAAACGTGTTGTTGACCATTTTTACCGCTTTTTAACATTTTCACACAAATACATTTTTATATAGAAATTGAAGTGTTTTGCCAAGTCTGAAATATAAAATCTCAATCCACAATATCAAAAGTTTTCAATAGGAATTTTTTTGTTGCTATATTTGTGCACCATTTGAGGAGCAAGTAACATGTTTCCCCTGCTACTCTCCTCCTTACAAAAGTTGTTTGGTTCGTCCCTATTACTAAAGGCAAATAGGACTCAACCTAGAAGCCATAATTTTTGCACTCAACCTAGAAGCCATAATTTTTGCTATACACTTATAAAGTGTATTGCAGAAAGGGATAGGACGAAAATTCTTCATGTTAATATGGATTAGGAACTTTAGGAATTAATGCTATGATAGTCACGTTTACCTCTCTTGGTATAATGATGCTCCTGAGTAGGGATGGCAACAAAACCCGAACCCACGGGTACTCACCCGACCCAACCCGGTCAACGCGGGTAAAATTCGTGTTGACGGGTTTTGGGCCGAGTTCGGGTTTAAATCCGCTACACTATTCATCGGGTTGGGTTGGGTTTAGGTTTAGGTAAACCCGCCTCATGGGTACCCGCTCACACATATAATTACTTTCCTGGTATATTTAATATTCTAAATAATATATCTTCTTTAAACAACTAATATTATTTATTTTTGTGGATACATGTATAATTTGTTCTTTCTAATTGTTTAGAATGAAGTTGATATTATGGAGTGGAGAGTGAAGAAATTTATTTGACGAGGAAGAAGATTTCAATTAATCTTGTTGTTTATAGATGTTTATCTTTAATTTTGAACAATTTGTATTGATCATTTCCGGTTTGCTTGTATGTTCTAGATTGGTGTTTTTTGTATGAATAATTTGTATGCGAAAATTGATGTTAAACTTTTATTTTGAAAGAAATTTTTTATTGTAAATTTTTTATCACAAAAACCCACGGGTACCCATGAACCCGCGGATACTCAACGGGTTGGGTTGGGTTTGAGTTTTTCAAACCCAGCGGGTTTTACCCCGAATTTTTTTGACGAATAAACCCATGGGTTTGGGTTTGACAAAACCCACCCAACCAGACCCATTGTCATCGCTACTCCTGAGTGACATTTCCACCTACCATGGGCCAATTGTTCTGGTAAAAGGATTTTGGAAATCCACGTGGCCGTGGACTCTTGTCCCTGTGCATCCCAAGTACTTGGATTATCATCCAGTCCTCTAATACTTGGATTAGGTTTTCAATCAAATTAGACCAATGCGAATCGCTAGCCACGGGTGATCCTTCTCACCTTCCGATGACCTATAATGGACGGCATTTTATTAGTTGGAATGTCTCCCCTATGCATTGAGCTTCCTAACTACATGACGTTCTAGGTCTGCAATCGACCTTGTGCAGTTGTGCTATGTTGGGAAATCATACATCTATACAAACTCAATTCTTAACCAGATATCCAAGATCTTGTTGAAGAGTAAACATAAAGAAGACGAGAACTACTACTTGCATCATCCATCATTTTCCGAAAAATCTCCAGATTGTCATCAATACTGATGACAACAGTTAGAATCTAAGAGCAAAATTCCACCAGTCGACTTTAAGACAAGATAATACTTAACAATCCCCCAAAACCACAACTCTCCTACATCAAATCAAAACGAAGGCCCCAATAAACTTGAAGACTCATCCAAAGGCAAGGAAAGAAGCTCTGCCTGCCACCTAGGTAGGTTTTCTCATGTTACGCCCAGCTCGAATCACTTCATCCACCAACAACAGTTGAGATGCAATCACAGGCCTGCAAATTATTGAGAAAATCGCAAAACAAAAGCCATGAAGGGAGGATGACGAAAGGGAGAAGTCATAGTGATGCATAGAGGTAAAAGATGCGTAAAATACTGACAGTTCGAGAATAACAGAAAAACAAAACATAGGTGCATACCCTGAGTTTAAAAGCTGGCGTTTGACTGAGTAGTTATCAAAAATACCCTCCATCTGAGGGTCAAGGGGCCCTCCTGTTTGGAGGTTGATTCCGACAATGTTATCGTTATCATGTTCTCCCTGAACAAAGAGAGCAAGATTGAATCAAGTTCCACATGTATATTTAATATTTATCTTGAAAGTTGAAAAAACTTAAGTATTTGTAAAAACAATTCTATGGGTAAATACCGTAAGGCAAACTATCTCATCCTGAGTGTCAAGCCCAGAGTTCTCAGCAAGAGTTTTTGGTATCACAAGAAGGGCATCAGCAAAAGCTTCAACACCAAGTTGAGCACGCTGCAGCAAATTTATTATAGGCACCAACCATCAGTAGTGAATGGAGAATGAGAAGACAGTCCAACGTAGAAAAGTACAGTTCTAGTTACCCCTTTAACAGTTCTCTTCACTTCACTGAGTAGGTATTTTCTGGCCGCAAACTCGAAAGCTCCAGCTCCCTAGGCAAGAGAAGAGAACACATTGGATCATCAGAAACTTGTAGACAACAATGATTCACCCATGTGATAAATCTTTTATGGTTATTGTCACTAAATCAACAGTAAGTTCTAATGGATAGTTTCAGGTTTACTTTTCAGTACAATTTACATTTGTACTTCCATCCAAAAACGAAATCCTTACCTATAGGAAAATAAGAACATTGTGTGAAAACTAGATTTGGCAGGTAGACAAACAGGACTACATCTATCATTCATATTGCAATTAGGTTGCGCGAGTGTTAGGTTACCCGGTAAGTATAAAGAGCACTAAATACATTTCCCAATGCAGAAAGTGAGTAAAGTACACTGTTACCTATTTGGATAGCCACTGGCAGACACCAGCAGCCAAATTAAACAGATTACTAAGAAAGCATAAATAACGGAAGCTGTGGAGGAACAACATATTTGCAAGAAGAACTTACAAGTACAACAGCTTCATCCTCAATGGTGTTCTTAACTGCTCTCAGGCCATCTCGTACTGCATCTTTTATTTGGGCAATAGTGTGGTCATTGGGGCCTACAAGATTATGGGAGCAAGAACATATCTTTCATCGAGAAGCGAACAGAAAACCCATATAGTGACAAAGATTGGCAAGGATGAACATATACCTTTTATTAAGATTGTACAAGAATGCGGATTTCTGACTTGTTCAACAAAAGTATATTTTTCTTCACCAAGGATGTGCTCATAAACCAAACCAGCCCATCCAAGGCAATCAGGAGTCATATCATCAACAGAGTTAACAGCTTCTCCACCACAAGCCAATACCAGGCGTTCCATATTCCTACGCTTTGCTCTACGGAGGGCAATAATCTGTGAAAAACCAGAGTCAGCATTTCATGGCATATATTATTTACCCCAGAGTACTATAGTCATGTAAGTTAACTTAACAACTAGTAGTCACGAGTAAAATAAATTAAGCAGCCCTCAGTTGACTATCTCTCAAATAGAAATTAAGACAGGACTAGAAATTAAAGACAAACCCCTGCACTCAACTATCTCTCAAGTAGAACATAAAAAATTTCCTGTGGTAAGGATGGGTAGCCAATGAACACGGGTTGCATTCCAAACTTATATGCGGTGGACCACTCAAGAAAACTGAAAATATTTAAAAAATGAACTTACCCCTGCTCTTGCTAGAAGATCCAGAGATGGAGGGTCGATGCCCTTTTGATTAATAACAACAAAGTTATTGTCATTACCAGAACAAACCTGCAAGTTACCAAAAAGCATATGCATAATTAGAAACCAAAAGAGCAGAGAGAAAGCATAAAATTGGTTGATGTTGCACAACCTGATTCTTTAGTTCTATAATCTTCTTCACTCTTTCGTCAACTTGACGCCTTTCAGCAGAAACCATCGCTTCCCTCTGCTCAGCATTTGAATAGAAAAACCCTGCATTTATCTCACTGGTTTTTAAAGGGAGTTTGGGGGTCAGCTTAACTCAGATATATATCAGTTTTAGTACACATTTTGCATGAAATACTACCTCTTATCATATTCCAGAGAGACATTGCACGTCAAGATGTGACAGTTCTCCGCCCGCCGCTTCATGTCAGGATGTCTAGAACCATGATCGAGGACAAGACCTTCGACCTAACAGAAACCACAATTTAGTAAAATGATTCAGAGGCTATACATGAAGAATAGGTTGCTTAAGCACATCCAATAAGGGTAGAATTTTACACACAAAAACATTAAATATAGATGTCCAATATAGAATACCATAGAACAAACTACTTCATCAGGTACAGAACAGTAATCATGAAAAGACCAAACTTGATAGAGTTAAAAACACACCTATGTCATAGAATGGACCATGACCAGAGCAATATAAACATCCCGCAAAAATACAATTCTGAATGAGAAATAAAACAAAACCTACCAGCCGTGTATCAACATCAAACTTATGGCGCATGTGCATAATCTCCACCATGAATAGGTCAATAGACTCCTCGGGTTTTCGTATGCAGAGAACCTGTCATTCAAATAAACTTGCTGTTAATGACAAGGGACTTGGACTAGGACAAGTTTCAGACTATTAGGTATTAAACTACAAAATAGGAACATCAACAAGCAATGAGTAAACTTACAGCATTTACAACTATGTCAGTCAACTGATCAGCCAAAGATTCATACAGCTGGATGAGAATAAAGAAAAATGAGCATGGCTACAGAATAAGTTATAGACTATGAAACAAAGAAAGAATTTTATAATTGTTCACCCATAAACACAATACCTTAGTTCTCACGGTAGTTCTCGCAACCATCTTTAGAATCTCCTTATCAGGTTCATCACCAATGACAACAGGAGTCTTAAATGTTTCAAGAAACTTGAGGGTGGCCCTTTTGGCAATTTCAAAACCATCAACCAAAACCCTTGGATGCATTCCTGTGAGCATACAGCAATCCCGTATCAGATGTGTAAAGCTTGTATCATATGGAAGCCAATGACTACTTGCACATTATTTTGAATACCAATAAACTTGCAGCCTCAAATACATAAGACACAGGCTAACACACATAAGACCATGAATACTGGCACTTTATATCAAGGCCACCGATGCATAAGCCGTGGCTCCAAAGAACCAAAACCCGAATGACATTGAAGGTCAGAATGACAAGTTTTGTTAATATCAAGATGATGTATCATCAAAGAGAATGGTGGAACACCCCATCGCCCTCATCAGAGATGAAGCAAAACTAATGACAAATATAAAGATTCAAAAGCTGACAGGGTCACTGAACTCTCATCTTCTACGTAATTGTTCCCAAAAAATGATTAGAAGTATGACCATGACCACAAGCAACCGTCAAAACTAAGCAACAAAATTACAGATAAACAGGAAAAGAAACAAGATTTCTGAACGAGAAACAGATCCATTGCCGCAGAATAACAGGTCGAGGAAATCAAACTTTAGTGTAAAAAGGTTTTTGTTGCTAACCTTCATCAATATACCGTTCAGACTGTTTCATTAGCTCCCCAATAAAGATTACAGTAGAAGTAGTACCATCGCCACTGATATCATCTTGGGCAACAGCCGTCCTTGCAATCATAATTGCTGTTGGATTTTGAATTTGCTGCAACCATTCAACAAAATAAGCAGATTCATCAGTCCATGACTCTAATGCTCCATGACCTGCAGTTAAGACACGTCCATAAGCAGCGAAATGGAAACCACTCTCACCCTCACATCTAGTTCCAAGTAATCTAGATTGCAACTAGAACTCTCCAGTTCAAATCAGATAAACTCCCACCGACTGTCCAAACTAATGCATTTCCAGAAATGAACAAAGGACTAGTGAGCTAAGATCGAGATATTTTTGTTTGACGGTTTCGATCGAGATATTGAAATGCTAAACTAGTTGTAGTCTTCATAACCAAAATCTAGGAAGTGAAGGAAAGAGGAACAGGACGGAAAGATGGGATTATAGTACACATATCAAAAGATCTCATAAACCCTACACTCTACTCAGCACCAAATTTAGGCATCGCAGACAAAGAAGTAAAGAAGAAAGTAAGAAGTCACCATTTCTTTAAGGAGAGTGTTGCCATCCTTTGTAAGCTTAATGTCTCCCGCCCCGCCAACGAGCCTGAGTCACAGTAAGACAAACTTCATACACGACGAAATCGAAGAAGGAGAAGGAAGCATGGAAATCGGAAAAGAACTAGAGAGAAGATTTACATTTTGATGGTGCCTTTAGGACCGAGATTAGTCTTGAGAACGTCCTGCAAGCCCTTGGCGGCATTGATGTTCATGTGAAGTGCCGCCGATTTGTTGAGAACCTCCGCATTAGGGTTTAGTACTCGGAGCGACATCTTTTCCCTTTCTGCTACGGCTGGTTTACTGGACGGCAAAAGAGAGGGAATAGTTCGAGGAATTTTCGAGTTTCAACTTACAAAGTCCAACGACAAAGATCTTGAATAGGCGTTCTTTGGTAGGTTAGGTCTTTTTAGTGACTGAGGGGTCGTTTGGAAGTTGCGATAGTTTTGTTGAGATTGTCATTATGCATGTATTGTTTACAATGCATCGTTTTTTTGTTTTTTTAGCAGAAACAATACATGGATTGTTTCTGTGATGTGACAGAAACTATCACTCATTTTGAGTGATTGTTATATCTCAACTTTTCGTTGTGATTGTTGAGATAGTTGAGTTGAGATTGTTTTGTCTCAGCTTTTAGCTGATGCGACATACACAATCACACATACCAAACGTTGTATTCTACAATGCATCAAATTCGACAATACATGTATAATATTATACATGCATTCTCAACAATACATCTATTTAACAATCGCAACTTCCAAACGACCTCTGAGGTCGGGTTTGGTTTTGGCCAATGGCGATAGATTGATGTATTGGGAGGGAATTGATAAATATAACGAATTGATAAATAGAAGTTTATATTGTTTGATTTTTGAGATAGTTATTACTTTTAAAATTGTATTAGATTGTTTGGTACCATATGAATTAAAAATCTATTTTATTGTAAAATGAATTATTGTTTAGAATTCATTGTCAAAATGAAATCTTGTGTTTGGTATGTTATATTCAAATTTTTAGAAATAAAATGAATTGTCGTGTAGAATTCATTGTCAAATGAATTCCTGTGTTTGGTATGTTATATATATATATAAATAATTTAGTTAATAAAGAGGATAATTATGTCATTCTATTATAATTAGTAAATAGTTGTGGAATTCATTTAGAAATTTCATCTCAACTCCTCGAAATTGCTATAACTAACTAGTAGCAATTCCATAGAATTCAAAATTTAGAATTGAAAATAAATTCTTTTACATACCGTTTGGTATAAATGAATTCCATAAGTTTTGAGTAATTCATTTTGAAATGAAACATTTTTGTGTTTGGTATTTAAAAGAATTCATTTTCAATTCTAAATTTTGAATTCTATGGAATTGGAACTAGTTATAGCAATTTCGAGGAATTGAGATGGAATTTCCAAATGAATTCCACAAGTATTCACTAATTATAATAATATGATATAATTATTCTCTTTTATTAACTAAATTACTTATATACATGACATACCAAACAAATGAATTAATTTGAGAATGAATTCTACACGACAATTCATATTATTTTCAAAGATTTGAATATGACATACCAAACACAAGATTTCATTTGATAATGAATTTTCGATTAATTTGGTACCAAACAGTCTGTTAAATACCAAACACAAAAATGTTTCATTTCAAAATGAATTCCTCAAAAATTATGGAATTCATTTATACTAAACGGTATGTAAGCATCAAGAATCCCTAAAACCAGGATTCCTCTCAAATGTATTTTGTTTAAAAATCAATAAACCTTGTAATTAAACTAGGATTCCTCTCAAATGTATTTCGTTTACAATCAATAAACCTTTGTAATTAAAGAAATACATAAACCATAATAAAAAGCTATCTAACTCTTACTGTAGGGCAACAATTTCGGACACTACACAAGCAACCTCAGATCGAACGCGAGACGCTAACTGGGAGGGGGAGCATACTAAACCAGACCCTTCATCATACATTCTCTTACACCTTTCCTTTCACATATTACCCATCAACATTATCCAGATCAACCTTCATGCTTAAGCTTGACTACTACCCTCGCTTCCACTTCTCTCATGCCCATAGCAGAACAGAATCCCAGTATGCAAAGACAGGAATTGTGACAACAAAGTAAGCAACCTGCAAAACAAAAGAGGAAAAGAAGCAACAAGCAAAGAGGTGATCCATGCTCTCTAGTGGCGGAGCCAGGAATCTGAATGAATGGGGGATGACTTCAGCCGTAAGAATTGGGAGAGGGGGCTAATGCTTTACTGACTAGTCTATTTCTTAAGTTGATTACAACATTTTCATTTAAATTTACCTACATTTTCAATTTGAGCGCTATAGCCCTTCATGGCTTCAACCTACCTCTTTTATAGCCACTAGTCTAGCGTCATTGGTTGGTAGAGCTTGTGCTTTTGTCCATTTGGAGACATAGTCTACTGCCACAAGGATGTATATGTTTACAAATGAGGATGAGAACGGTCCCATAAAATCAATGCCACATTCATAAAAAAAACTTCAACGGGTAGGAAGATGTTTTGTGGCATTTCATTTCTTCTTGTGATAGTTCCTAGTCTTTGGCATGCGTTGCAATGCTAGGAGTAAAGGTTGCGATCTCAAAAAATAGTTGGCTAGTAGAATCCACTTTCAAGTATCTTTCTTTCCATCTGGTTACCACTATGATGTCTTTCTGCAGGCCTTGAATGGCAGTGGCGTATATAATCTGTTGATTCTTTGAAGGAGACACATCTTCAGATGATGTTGTCATATACTATGCGATATAGAAAAGGTACTTACCAAAGGTAATACTTGAGATCTGCAAAGAACTTCTTCTTTTTTGGTAGGATAATCTGTTAGGGAGTTTCTTAGTGCAAAGGTAATTGGTTATATCACCAAACTTTGGTCCTTGATCAATCTCGAGAGCAATCATCATCAATTGTTCGTTAGGAAAGGAGTCATTGATTTCTCTTCTTTCTGGTTGGGCATCCTTTGACTCCTCAGATCGGCAGCTACGTTCTCCGCCCCTATCTTATCTTTTATCTCAATATCAAACTCTTGAAGTAGGAGTATCCAACGGATTAGTCTTGGTTTTGCATCTGTCTTAGAAATTAGGTGTCAGACTGCTTGGTGATTTATGGATACTATTGTCTTTTCCAAGCTAAGGTAAGACATAAACTTGTCGAATGCAAAGACCACTGCTAACAGCTCCTTCTATCGTCATGTAATTTTTTTGTGTCTCGTTTAGTGTTCGGCTCACATAGTATATTGGGTGAAATATTTTATCCTTTCTTTGCCTTATGACTGCCCCAACTGTATAGTCGCTAGCATCACACATTAGCTCAAATTCTTGTGACCAATATGGCGATGTAAGGATGGGTGCTTTCGTCAACTTTTTTTTTAAGAGTTTGAAGGCTTCAAGACACTTCTCATCCATATGGAAGATACCATCTCTCTTGAGAGCTTTGTAAGGGTTGAGTGATATTGGAGAAGTCATTGATAAATCGTCTATAGAATCCAATATGTCCCAAGAAGCTTCTATTGTATTGACAAAGGTAGGTGGTGGAAGATTGGCGATAGTTTCTATCTTTTCTCGATCCACCCAATGCCTTGGCTCGAAATCTTGTGTACTAACACAATTCCTTCTGCTGTCATGAAGTAACTTTTCTCCCAGCTTAGTGTTAGATTTGTTTCTTACCTAATCAACACCTTCTTGAGGTTTCTTAAGCAGTGCTCTAATGAATCCCCATATACAGAGAAATCATCTATGAACGCCTCCACTATATCATCTATGTAGTTAAGAAAGATGGCTATCATGCATCTTTGGAAAGTGGTAAGGGTATTACATAGACCAAGAGGGATTCTTCAATAGGAAAAAGTACCATAGATAGGGATGGCAATGAGTCGGGTTGGGTCGGGTTTTGTCAAACCCAAACCCATGGGTTTATCTGTGAAAAAAACCCGGGGTAAAACCCACTGGATTTGAAAAACTCAAACCCAACCCGCCCCGCTGGGTATCCGCGGGTTCATGGGTACCCACGGGTTTTTATCGTACAAAAATCACAATAACAAATTCCTATCAAAATTAAAGTAAAATATCAATCTCCCAATACAAACTATCCATATATAAAACACCATTCTAGAAAATTCAAGCAAATTACAAATTAACTATACAAATTGTTCAACACCAATCTAGAAAACTCAAGAAAATTGAAGCAAATCACAAATTATCCATAAATAACATGATTAATTGAAAGCTTCTTCCTTTCAATTAAGTTTTTCACTCTTCACTCGATAACATCAACTTCATACTACATAACTAGAAAGAAAAAATTAGGCATGTCTCTACAAACATAAATAAGATTAGTTGTTTAAAATATTAAATATGTCGAGAAAATTAATTATATGGGTGTGGGCGGGTACCCATGGGTCGGGTTTACCTAAACCCAAACCCAACCCAACCCGGTAAATAGTGAATGGGTTTAAACCCAAACCCGGCCCAAAACCCGTCAACACGGATTTTAAGTGCGTTGACCGGGTTGGGTCGGGAGGATACCCGTGGGTTCGGGTTTTGTTGCCATCCCTAACCATAGAGGCATGTGAGAGTTGTCTTCTCCGTATCTTCCAGCGCAATGGGTATTTGGAAATAGCCACACATTCCATCAAGGAAATAGTAGAAGGCGTGCCCAACCAATTTCTCTAGCATTTGATAAATGAATGGTAGAGTGAAGTGATCTTTTCTTGTTACGTCATTAAACTTCTAATAGTCAATGCATACTCTCCATCCGGTTATTGTTCTTTATGGGATCATATTTCTGTTGTCATTGGGTATGACAATCATTCCTCCCTTCTTTGGCACCACTTGAGTAGGGCTCACCCACTTGTTGTCCGAGATGGGATACAAGATTCATGCTTGAAGTAGCTTGATCACATCCTTCTTTATGAATTCTTAAGATAAGGATTCACTCATCTTTGAGGTTTTACTACTGGCTTATGATTGTCCTCCATTAGTATCTTATGCGTGCAGAATGATGAATGAATCACTTGAATACCAGTTATGGACCATGTTATCACTTTTTGGTGTTTTTTTAGTAGTTCAATCAATTGGTCCTTCTTTTCTTGGGACATGGCTGAATTGATAATAACTTGCAACTTCTTCCCATCGGCCATGAATGGACATTCTAGATTTTTAGGCAAAGCCTTTAGCTCTATCTCTGGCGGTTCTTCGTAGGAAGTCTTTTATTCAGACAGGGACTCTATTACGCATGGCTCCGGGTCATCCTGACCTTCTGGCTCGCCTATCATGGTAGGGCCGATCCAGTTCATGGAAGTTGACTCGCTAAAACACTACTCTTAACATTGACCAAGTGTAACCAATGAAAGGTACTGCAGTATAGTAGCACAGGTAATAAATAT